AAAAAAAAAAAAAACAATAAAAATAATAAAAGAAAGACCCGCCTAATACTCCCGAAACTATTACTCTAAAATGGGGTCTTGTGTTATCACCATTCAAAATAGATGTACTATTATTGAAGAATAATACCACTAACAAAATGTTTTTATTTATTTATTTTTTTTTTCTTTTTCTTTCCTTCTCTCTGTTGTTCATACAGACTCAATCCATTCATTTTTTTTTTCCCCCCTTCTATGCTTTTATTTCTTTCTTTTTTTTTTCTCTCTTTTATTAATTATCGGTCTGGCTTATGTATTCTATACACTCTTTCTCTGATGATGTCCATAATAATTAAAGAGATTTCTCTATCCCTGTTTTTTTTTTTTTTTTTGTTGTTCTTCTTGTTGTTATTATGGCATAAATAGTAAACGGAGAGAAAAATAAATACGAAAATAAATAGAGTCGATCCTTGTTTATGTATGTAAATGTGTGTAAAAGAGTGAAAGTATAATTTGTCCGTTAATGTAAATTTTTTTTTTTTAAGAAAATAGTAATACTTTTAGGTTCCCTATGTATGATCTGTTTATGTGTCTGTATATAATATATACTTCTACTCTTTCTCTTTCTCTCTCTCTCCACGTATATGTTCTCGTTGCTATTCATTTTCTCACTTCGTTCATATTATATATATATACATATATATATATGTATATACAGAAAGAGAGAAAGATAAACCAATAAATGTTCACACCTAACACAAAATCAGAGTAACGAAAACAAACAAATGTGGTATTTCAAAATAGGAAAAAAAAAAATGGAGTAAAAACAAAAAAAAAAGAAAACAATAAATAGATACAATAACTATATATATATATATATATATATATATATATTGAATTAGCAATAAATAAATAGATCGATCGAACAACAATAACTTATACAATTTATTCTTCATTTAAATCACCTAAAAATAACATTTTTGAAAACTTCCTTTTGATTTATTTATATGTCTTCTTTTCCTTTATTTCTCCATTAAAGCTAATTTTCTTTCTATTTTGATAGGTACTTTTTTTTTTTTTTTTCTTTCTTCTTCATTGCTTTTGATGCACCATCCTTCACATACCACAACAAAACAAACAATCACAATCACACACATATACAAACATCTATTTATCAATCTAAAACTATAACTATAACTATAACTATATATATAGATATAGATAGATAGATACACAGTAATGAAAACCCACTCTCTTTTCATCTTCCTATTTTTTTTTTCTTCTTATGCTCTCCCTTTTTTACTCCTACATCCTCTCCTACATTCTTTACAAGTGCGGTTGAGGACTTGTGTGGAAGTCCATCACGGTGGGAGCCCGCTCTGCGAAGGAGTAGAGATAACGGGCGAGGGCCCGGTGGAGTGGGTGTTTCTGGTACTCCGCCAAGTACGCCGGGCGCTCGTGGCGGGAGACGAGGACGTGTGTGTTGCCGCCGGGCTTCCCGCACTTCCCTTCATACATCTTCATCTCATTAGCGCCAAAGTGCAATTCAATGAGGCCGGGAATTCCCGCGCGAACACCGGCGAGAAGGTCTTCCAGTTTCTTCTCATCCATTCCATCACGGAGTTTAAAAAGCACAACATGCATGACAGACGACATTTCTGTGTGTGTTTGTTTGTTTGTTAATTTATTTTCCTTTTCTTTAGGCACATCCCGATGATTAAAGCAAAATAGAAAAAAAAAAGCAATATAAACTAACATTACATATATATCCATATATCTATATATAGATATTTATACTCATTATAGTCTTCAACCACATATTTCTCTTATATTCTTCTTCACTGCAGAAAGATCACCTCATTTTTTTTTTTGTTGGTATTCATTTTTGATTTTCTTTCTTCAATTCCCCTTCACTCAGGAGCGCAAGGGGGGAAAAAAAAAGAAAAGAAACAAACAAATACACAGAGATAGTAAATAAATAAATAATAAAATGTTAAAAGAAAAAAAAAAAAACACATATATATATATATATATATATATATATATATATATATATGTATATAGCCCAGATTATTTATTCCTTCAACGCAAAGTCAATACGCACCGGTGGTTTCTCAAATGCGGAAGCCAACTTCTGTGCCAACTCCAAATGCGTGGGATGTGTTGCGTACACCCGCAGGGCCTCCACATCCACGTGCCTGGAGACCAGACAATGTGTGTAGTCCCCATTGCAGTTCACATAGCCCTCATACAGTGCCGTACCCGCTGGTCCCATCTGCACATCCAACACGCCAGGAACGAGTTTACGAATATTCTGAAGATGGCGCTCAATATCATCATCTGATGGTAACACCGCCTTCAACTTGGCAGGGTTGAGGCTGAACATAACAACGTGGCAGATCTTGGATGACATTGTATGTATTTTACTTGATGTGTGTTTTTTCTTTTTTTTTTTTCTCTTTTTTAGTTTATATATATATCTTTTTAATAGAATCCATGTATGGGATGGGTGATGAGAGAGAAAAGAGAGTCCATTAACGTAGAAGAGGAAATAAAAAAATACTATTTGATCGTATCTGATGGGGTGGATTTATATGAATATCTCTCAGAATTAAACTCAGAGATAAATAAAAAATATAAAAAGAAATACATACACACATACATTTGTACACGAAAGAAAAAACAAACAAAATATATATATATATATATATATATAACGGAGTTGTGAGAACACACAAGCAATAATTCTCTCTTTGTTTTTCTTTATTAGTATTATTTCAGTATGCCGCCTTCAAAAACTGAAAAAAAAAATAACAAAAAAAAGGTAAAAAGAGAAACACTATACCGTATACCCATGAAATTATCTTGCAGAGTCACTTTGGGAAAAGTTTAGATCACTAACAATCAGAATATTTCTTCTTCCTTATTTTTCTCCACTATTTAATTTACCTTCTTTTTATTTTTTTCATTTTCTCTTCTTTCTCGCACTCTCTATCACTACATTAGGCTTCCCTACTTTCTTTTGAATAGCACTACACAACGAGACGAACACACATACACACACATACACACCTATATAACCACTATTTTCCTCCTCTATCCCATCTATCCTAAAAAAAAAAAAAAATAATAAATAAATAAATAAATAGTTTAATCGCCAATTGCTGCCAAATGAAGAGTACTGTAATAATACGGTCAGTATCATTTCGTACTTCTTTTACACTCCCCAACTATACTATCATTTTGTTTTCCCCTAACCCTTTCTATTTAATTACCCTTTTAATAATCATGTGTGTATATATGTGTTTCTTTCTCTGGGTGTGTAGTTTCCATTATTATTTCTACGACTTTCATTCATCGATAACAATTTCACCCACTTACACCTACACCTCTCTCTATCTCTCTCACATCATCATCATCACCATCACCACAACAATACACGTATATATATATATATATATATATATATATATATATATACGATAAATTTCCATCTAATAATGAGGTAATATTCATTCAACTCCAAATTTTCACCCCAGCAAGATCAACCACGTACGGAGTACTTTTGAATCTCATGCCAGCGTATCTTCTTCTGCAGTGTGTGTAGACAAAAGACAAGACTCTCCGCCGATGGTGGACAACCGGGAATCCAAAAATCCACCGGAATGGCCCGCTCACACCCACGCAAAACAGCATATGAAAAGTGATAATAACCACCCCCATTGGCGCAACTACCCATAGAGATAACCCACTTTGGATTTACCATCTGTACATAAATATTACGCAGAAGTGGTGCCATCTTATTTGTAACTGTGCCGGAGACAATAATAATCTCCGCTTGTCGCGGTGTAGGGCGCGGTACAATTCCAAAACGGTCCAAATCATACCGCGCGGCGTACGCGTGCATCATCTCCACCGCACAGCACGCCAGACCAAATGTGAGCGGCCACGGCGAGTAGGCGAGACACCACTCTGTTAAGTCGTGCAGTGTCATCTGTGCGTACTGCAGGGCGTTGTTGGGTTTGCTGGTGCCCAGTTTATGCAGCATTGTTGTCTTTTTCCCCTTCTTGAGATCTAAACGATGGGACCACTCCGGACTCCCGCGGGAGATCATCGCACGGCCGGTTAAAGTACAACGGGTAAGGCGCAACATGACACAAGACTTCTTGTATGTACTGTTTCTTTTTTTTTTGTTGTTATTACTATTATTGTTGGTGGATCCCTTTAATGTATTCCCTCTTTTTATCTTTCTTTATTGTTTTTTTTTTGTAAACATACACAGTGGCGTACAAGGAAGTGCATAATTAAGAAAAAAAGAAAGAAAAGAAAGATGATAGAAACAAAGAAACAATAAAAAAAGATTATATATACATATATGGGTTAATATAAAGAAAGGAGTGTGCAACACGCCCCCCTCCCCACCCCCCCAAAAAAAGACGAAAAACTTATAATAAAGTGAACTGAAAGAATTAGTGCGTGCAAAAAACAATTCAGCGATAATATTACAATACATGATCATTATAATAATCAAAAAATCATAAGAAAGAAAAAAAAGAAAAGACAACACCAATGATACATTATTCTCTTTTTCATGTGTATTTGCCTAAACGTTCACTCCTTATAATAGGAGTGGGTTTCTTATTTTATTATTTTAATTCTTCCTTAAACAATTTTTTTTTTTTTTTTACCAAATAACTAAATAGAAACCTTTTTTTTTTTTTTTATTATTTACACCTTCTCAATCCTTCACTCTCATCTACATGTTTTCTCTCTGTAGAGTGTATGGTTATGAAATTCTCTTACTCCTCTTTAACGATCACCAGTGAAGTACAATGTATAATCAATCAATGGGAAAAAAGAAAAAAGAAAAGAAAAAAATACCATTTACATTACAAACATTCATTTTTTTTTTTTTGTTTTGTTGATGTTTCCCCTCTCTCGTTGTTTCTTCCACACCCTCTTCTTTCTTCTTCTATTTACCCACATACGTTAAAAGCGGTACACATCATCGTTAGAGTACCCTAGTTCTCCCAATATACCACCGAGTCGAACCAAGTTGTTAAGATCTGGAGCGATGGGTTGAATATTTACACCACTAGACATGGCACTCATTGTACTCATTGGTGTACCGGCCACGTGATTCAGCAGTTGATCCGGTCCACACAACATAATAATTTTATCTTTTTCCTCCGGTGCCGGCATGGTCTGTTGAACCATTTCTTTGGAAACGTACCCTACAAAGTGAGGCCAGGTATCGGGATTCACCGCTTGATCTACAGTGTAATATACTTTAAACCGACTAAAACGTTCCGCAAGATCATCAAAGAGACCTTTAAGAAGGATGTGTTTTTCTGTACGATTACAGAAAAGAAAAGATAGTTTTGTTCGATCTATTGTACCATCATCCCACTTTTCTAAAAGTGAGTGACGTATGATTTGTAGCATAGGAGTAAATCCTGTACCTCCAGCTATCATACCTACATGTTTCCATTTATTTGGTTTGTACTGTACCTTAAAGGCTACAGAACGAAAAAGTAATTTATCTCCTATATGCATACCAAAGAGATGATTTGTCATAAGTCCCTCTTGTCGTCGTTTTACAATAATATCAAAATATCCCTTTGTGTGATTCGCTGTCACTGGTGTGTAGAAACGATGACACTGCTCCATAGGTTGAACCCCATACTTATAGCATGCCTGTAGTGTGGAACATGGTTTAAGATTAAACTCCTCATCCTCTTCCAGTAGAAAGCGAAAGAGTGCCGTATCATGTGTGATGGGAATTACATCCGCTAACTGGTATGGTTCATAGCGTTGAGAAAAAACTTCACCTTTGCGTTTACTATTGCGGAAATGAAGTGAATTTTCAATACTGCGGTAACACTCTGCAGGACGCATCTCATCTCCGGATTGCCGCTGCATCATGGCAGTCATCAAGCCTGTCGCAAAGGGAACGATAAATCGCATTTGTCCAAAGAAGAGAAATAATCCGTAAAATGATTAAATAAATAAATAAATAAATAAAGAGAACTAATTATGTAGGGTCTTTTATTTTTCTTGTTTATGTATGTGTCTTTCCCTTCCACTGCACCCGCAACCAGTAACACTCTATTATCAACAGACCTTTCAAAAGATGAAACAGGAAACCAGAAGAAAGCAAAAAAAAAGAAGAACTAGAACCAAAGAATTAGGAAAAAGGAAAGGAAAATAACGGAATAAAAAAAAAAAAAAAACAATAAAAAGAACAAAAGAAAGGAAATACAAAACTCACGTAAAAGGGCTAAGGGAAATACTCGCAATCAATAAGGTAATAAAAATTCCCACAAAGGAAAAAAAAAAGAAAAATAAAATCATCATAATCGTAATCGTCATCCTCACATGTAACGCAAATACGTCTACCGTAGATGCAAATACACATACACACGCACATAGATATTATATATATATATATATATGAGAGAGAGAAAGAGAAAGACTATATTATTTGCCCTTATCAACAATAAAACTAACCGCTGCGTCCACATCCCCATTTGTTGCACATAACGCTTCAACACAAAGTACCTCATCCTCAAATCCCATATCTTTTAACATTGCGAGTTGAGACGCCCATTGTGTCTTATCTTTTGCTATGTTATCAGTCGTTCTTTCCGCCGATGGTGCCAATGTATTTGGCTGCGCCATATTTTCTCTATTAGGAGTTACTCCACCCTGAGGCAAAACAGATCCTGTGGTGGCAGAAGGGTTACCCCCACTCATTAATGGAGTATTTTCAAATAGTTGAAGAAAGGAAGGAAATCCTACATTTCCAGCATTAGAAGCATTTCCAACACCAAAATTACCCAAAAGTAAATTTGTCATATCAGCATTTGGACCCATCATAAACTCCGAATTATTCTGTGTTGATGATACTGATGATGATTGTTGCTTCCATGGATTAGGTAATGCTTCACTATTGGCTTCTTTATTTGGATCTGGACGAGCCTGTGCTTCATCTACTTCAGCAGCAGCTTCACGGTGTGTGGAATCCCCATCTGCGTCTAATTCCTGTAAAACACTGGTAACATATCGTTCAAGCAACTGTTCACCTCCTGGTATTGCACTAACTTGTGCCATTTGCAACTGCAAATCCCTATCCATCATGCGCCTCTGTTCTGGATCCATTTGTGCCATAATAAAGCTCTTCAATGTCTCTGGATCTCGCAACATGCGGTCCATCTCTGGGTTTCCCTTCAGTACGCGCTTCATTGCCGGGTCTGCGCCGAGCACGGCCTCCATGAACCCCGGGTTGTGCACCATCATATCAATGATCGGCTCCATCATGCGTGCCTGGTCGCGGCCGGCGCGCTCCTCCTCCCGCGTGACCGCCGCGGCGCGAAGGGCGAGTCGCATCGTCTCGGCGGAGCCCGTCGGGTGGCGGTCGGAGACGTGGACGAAAAGTTTGCGGGCGGCGCCGGGCGGGAGGGGGTGGGCGGCGAGGAGGGCGCCCCACGCGAGGCCGTCGTCGTGCAGCAGGCGGCCCTGAAATGTCACCGCCACGTGGGGGCCGTCCGCCTCGGCGCCGAGCATCGCCCCGACGAGCGCCCGCACTTCACCGACGGTCATTTCGTCCTCAATGAAGAGCTCCAACGCATCACACACGTTGCTCACAATCTGGTACAGCATCTGGACAGAGACACACACAGAAACACACACACAGAAACACACTCACACACTCACTAACAGAGAGAGAAAGAGAAAGAAAATAAAAGAAGATAACACAGTAAGAATATAACGCTGTATATTTCTTATCCTTCTTATTCCTCGTAACAAGTAAACGAAAATAAGGAAGTATATTATTTGGAGAAGCCAAACTCCCGAAAAAAAAAAAAAAAAAAACATCACAGTAAGCCTTTTAACCGATGTGTTGAACCATTTATTAATTCATCCCTTATTTCCATTTAATTGTTTTTTTTTCTTTTTTGGGGGGGCACACAATAAAGTACAACTATTTCGTTCCGATTTCCCAGAGATTTGATACTGGCAGACGTCCTGCTACATCCATTAACTCTCTGACTCCTCTTTCTCCCTCGAATCTCTCAATAGGTAAAAAATAGTTGCTACAAGTACTTTCTGGAGAGTTATTCACCAGAGAAGCAGTAGCAACTGCAAGTAGCATGGCATCCTTCCCCAAAACAGGGGAATCTTTCTTAACATCATAGTCAGTTTCTCCCAATTCACATTGTTCCACAGCATATCCTACTGAAGAAAGCCAAAAGGCAGTACTGAGGGGAGTTGCAGACCATGAGGCATTCCACCGACGTAGGATACGTGTAGCTTCTACAACAGGTAGTGGAAGAGCATACTTTAGCGATACGAGAGAAAATCCAAATGCTGGACGAAGTGCAGCACGCTGAAGTGGATCTGAAGCCAGTTGAAGTACACTAATATTTGTTTGACAACTAGCAAAAGAAAGAAACGTGCGAATACGCTGCGTCATTGGTCGATTATTATTACTATTTTTGTTATTATTACCTTTTTTATTTTTGATGCTACTCTTTGGAGTTGTTGGAACTGGTATAGCAATTTCCAACAAGTCTGGTTCATGAAATACACATCCCTTCTCACGTAGTAGAAGATCTTTATCTAATACTCGTGCAGCATATTTGGGAATCTTCTGCTTCTCATAATTAAATGTCTCTCCTCCCACTGTACGCTCTACCGCTAGATCACTGGAAAATGGTGGTACTTGGTCAAACAACTGTGGTGCTACCACACGACGAAGATCAGGAGCCTCAAAGCCACCAATATAAACTACAGCATGAGGGGTCCAACAAGGCAATAGCGATGATAAAGATGAGGAAGAAGAGGTAGAGGAGGATGTTTCGAATTCATTCTCATCATACCGCCATAACTGACGTCCATTCACGAGTTGTAGAGGCCATCTGCGGTATATCTTTTTCCAGGCTTCAACTGCTGCAGGTGAACAACAGTCTGCAAAAGGACCTCGTTTTGCCTGTGAAATTATATGTCCATCATTCCTATTGTTCGATGAATATGAAAAACGGGAGGCGTGTTGCTGCTGTTGATGATGATGATGATGACTGAGTCTTTTATCGAGTTGAGCCAACAACGCTTCTTCCCTAGTTGTACCAACCACAGCGGCAATTGGAGAAGAAGAAGAAGCGGCTGCAGTAGAGGGTGAAATTAAAAGATCAGAAAAGGCAACGAATGCCGTTGGAAACGCCGCTGATACGAGTAGTTGAACTGCCTCCATGTGGTTCAAGGAGGCAGTTACAGTAATAGTAGATGCCATAATAATAATTCTTTTTTTTTTGTTTGTTTACTTATTTCTTTCGATCTCTATTCGTCCAACATGGAGACTAAACCATGTAAAACAAGCCTATAAATGAAGAAAAAAAAAA